GGAATCGGACACATATGTTCGCACGATCAAATTACAGGTCATGAAAACGTTTTTCAACAAAATTTCAACAGGTTAGCGTATTTTCCCCAAATGTCAAATTCTTTAGAGATGCACCGATAAACCAGCATCGTATGAGTATGTAAATCTATCAACTGATCCAAAACCTCTTTACGTTCAAAACGGAATCAAAACATTAATAATACTTTTGCTTTAACCAGTAAATATAAAAAACACTGTCATCAACATGTGAGCATTGTGTCAGTGAGACACACATGACCCCGCTCATCTGTCCGTCCACGCCATGACGCTGACATCAGAGGAAGCATGTGTGGGAGGTTGGTGGAGGGAGTTGCTGTGTCTACCCTCCTTAACCCCGTCCCTCCTGTCCTCCTGGTGGCTGCCTGGTCGGAATGTTTGTGTGACCAGGTTATTTTTAGGCGAGGCCGCTTGAAATACTCCAACTGGGCTTCATTGAGGATAAACACGAGCTGCTCTCGCGCCGTGTGGCACGTAAAACCAGATTTTGGCTCGTCGCAGAGTTTGCTCCCGCATTCTTTTCTGACAAGACAAGTCGTAGCTGTCTCTTCCTTCCTCCCTCACGAAACTATCATCTCGACCATCCAGCGTTTGGCTGACTTTTGTAGCGTCGTCCAACCTTCTGAAAGTACCTGAGATGTCTCCTGAGGACCGAGGGACTGGAGTTGTGTGAGTTCTGCAGAAGAAACTCGAGGAGACTTGGAGAAAATGGCTCGTTTGTTTTGGTTCTTCATATTTAGCCAAGTGGACAGTTTTGGTTGTATTTGTTTTTTTTAATATTTATGCCTGAGATTTCTACCAACTGGAAACAAAGGAGGTGAACGAAAACTAATTTATTGTGCTTAAAGAAATGAAGTCAGCAGCATCGCGTCTTTTCAGAAATAACCCCGGCAACTACTAACCAAAGACGTTGCGTAGAGAAGAGTAGTGTGTGAGTACTGAGACTTTTAGATTCCTTCATTCTGCCGATCTGGTTGAACTGAACCTTAAGGGCTTCTGACTCTGCTCGTGAAGATGACACACGCAGTCTCGTGTTTGTTTGGCCTTGTTTCAACTTATGAACTTACTTCGAAACCAAAACAATCAATTTTAGTCAAAATAAGATCGACAACATGAGCAACACAGCACAGATCTAGTCGGAGAGCCACCCCTCATTGCTTCCCATAACTCCGGCGTCTTATATTTCTCGTAGCTTTGGGTCTTGTGCAGACTGGCAAACCTGTCGGGACTCTTCCCCCTCTCTCCATTAATGTGTAACTGTGCCCAGAACATAACCAGGTTTTAACTGCACCAGAGTCCGTCTCTGTGGTATAAACCCACACAGACAGGTGGGTAGACATACTGCATTTACACCCCCACCCAAATCACAAGTGAAGAGCCGGGATGTTTTTGCCGCCATTCCTCGCATTGTTTGTCTCGTTGTATTTTTAACGTGCCGTCGCCGGGCTTGTTAGAAGCTCAGATGTGCCGCTGCCTGTGTTGTTTCAGAGATTACTGATTGGGTGAAAAGCGACAGCTGCTCAGGCGGTGCAGACGGCCTCCTTCCCCGCCAGGATTCCTCTGACGTGGTTGTTGTCAAGTTCTCTGGTGAAAGTTGGATATCTCTCTGTGTGATTGATGACCGGTCTTTCGGCTGCGGGCGGTGGTAGCCCGCGGTGGTCTGCAATGATCCGGAGTGATGAAATGTGAGATATATTTGCCGCCAAGTACCCAAAGTGTTTATGAAGCTCATGCAGCATGTGACAGGAGGTCAGAAAGATCCGTGTGTATGAGGTTGACAGTTAGACTTCTGGATAAAACACTAAACCGAAACCTGTCAGGACCAAGGACCATGAATGGAGCGATGCGATGGACACAAAGAAGCTAAATTTGCATCATTTGCTTGAGTTGTAATATTTGAACTCAAGCGAGAGCCAATCAACGTAGAGAAAGAAGCTAACTGGAGACGGGTCCCGGCACCGATCCAAGCTAGCAGCTGGAAACAGCATTCACGCGCAGCTGCTGGAGAAGATGGTGAACCTTTCCCAGCTGTGGCTCCCGATGGTCTTGTGGACTCACACACGTCGGAGTTCTTCTTCCACGATACAGTTTACATTGTGCAAAAATAGTTTTCCAGTAATGCCAGTAAGAGAAATACCCAGTAACAAACTCCACGTGATCGGTGATGTGGTGAAACTTTACGATACTCTTTCCAAGAAGATTAGCATCTCGTTCCAGGGACACGTCTGTCTTTCATGGAACAGAGACATGCTTATCCCGTCCATCCATCACTGCTGTTATTGCTTCATGGTAACCCTGTCATGTGTGCGACTCATCATGTTTCCCTGGAAACCAGCCTCCCACGGGGATAGGTGCCTAGAAGTCGAGAGGCAGCGGGCTGACCTTTTCGTCATAAGGGTTACGTGAGACAGGGCTGGATGTTTGGGTCATGTGGGAGGGGTGTTGGGTGCATATGAGATTCTCCAGCTTCTAGTAGCCTCTCGTGTCTTGTTGCATGATGAGGCAGAAAGAAGAAAGGGGGAGGGGCTTTGGCTAGTTTGTGTCCTTCAGCGCTGTGGTTGAGCTGATATAGCATCTTTAAAACTACAACCACTGAGCTGGTGTTTTAGGATTGAAGCTGATCGGCAATGTTTTGAGTTACCTTGATTCTCAGTTTTGCTCAGTACTTCTTGTCAGTATGGACAATGAAGCAGAAATGAGACAACTGGCATCAAATCAGAGGGTTAATCAACCACGAGGGTTAGAACGAACGTTTAATTTATATCTTGGTGGCTTGGCAAAAAAGTTGTTCTGTCCTTTTTGTGCGTCAGTGAGAGACAAGTGAATGTGGAGTCTCGCAGCCGTGCACATGGGGAGGGAAACTGCGCAGGAGAAAGGATATTGCTGAACATGATTTCTGGCATTAGCCGCGGAGAAACGCTAACTCACACCACTTCGAATGCCAAAACCTTTCCCTAGGAGCTGCCTCTGAGAGGGATAACTGTGGAATGTGTTCGAAACACCACATTAAATCAGTGTAAATAATTCAGTTGTTCCATGACGGAGGAGGGCGAGCAAAACGGCAAATTAAAGGAGACACATGATGCTTTTTATTGTTTCTGTCCTCTGCTGGGCTATAAAGGTTTTATTGTGAAAGAAAAAGTTCTGCAATGTGTAGAAGACAAGATACTACAATATTCCAGCATAACGTCATAATATTATTGGGTAACACTTTGTCAGTAGAGCTAACGATCCTGTCATGTGACAAGGCAATGCCCAACATTTGCCTGACACGCCCCTTTACAAAACTAGATAGAGCGAGAGCCGAGGCCGACATTTCCTACGCTCACTGGAACCAGTTGACCAATCACATCAGCGTGGTCCAGCTGACAAATCGAATAGGAGCAGAATGTGTATTTATACACGGATGCCAAAACCTGCCTAATGCAATAGTGTCTGAGACAGTGACAGGACGACAGGCTACAAAACAAACACCCTGAAAAACAACGATCCAACGGGTTTCAGTTCGCCGAGGAACCTCTCTGCTGTGTTGTAGTAACCACATCTCCATGGTGATTTCACACCAGCTGTTTCCAGGACAGCTGCCTCCACAGGACATGGAGTTTCCATCCCCTGCTGGGCTTATATTTAGTACATTGTCATTTCATCTGATGAACCCTGTTGAGGCAGCGACCCAACCCGCCCCTACACTGGTGGTTTGATTGTTGTCATAGAAACAAAGGCAGAAATTTGACTTGTTTGTTGATCGCTTATTCATAAACCTTAAAAACACAACGGGATAATTTAGCTTTTTTAAAAAGACGAAGGATGGAAGCCCTTCCAGCTTGTCCCCCCCCCCCCCCCCCCCCCCCATCAGGGAGTTTATGTTTTTATCTTTGTTTGTAGGATTATACAAAAACTACCAGACGGATTACAACTTCTTTAACATTGTGATCAGGCCTTTTCAACTGTATCAGAGAATGGACATTTTTCTGAGTACATGGTTTCTCTCAATTCAAAATGCGCTACGGTGATAAAATGGCCTTGGCGGAGCTATGAGCTCGCTCAGTGCCCTTCTAGTTTCAGCTCGAGGAACAGAAAGGATGTGGAACCTTGGCTCATCTATTTATCGCACATGTGCCTTTTATAGCTGTTTAATGTGAAGCGATTGAGCTGGAGCGCTGAGAGTAGATGGGTGATTTTTGGGAACCCCTAAGCTCAAAGGGAAAGTTTTGTAACTCACCAGGTGGCCCAGAATTCCCAGCAGTGCCAGTTTCCACGGCCAGGAAAGAGTTGCTGATGGTCGTCTTCTTAATTTAGACGATGACATTCGGTCTGTTTTCATGCACTAAATTTGATCAATGACCCTCAACGGAAGTGAAATCCTGAGCCTCCGAAGAAACTTCTTCAATCCCTCTCTCAGATAACTGTCGGTATTATTTTAAATGCTGAGTCGTTGCCACTTCACTTTATTTGAGAAGCACATTTAAAGATGAACAAATCAAAGTGTGCGTGTGTACAAACTTTCTAGAGTATGAATCTACGACGATCACGAGTCAGTCTCAGGTGTCAATCATGACACAATGACTAATTAAAAACAGACTTACCAGAAACAGTGAACATACATCAGTGCAATAAGACCTATTTATTTTTGACGCGTACTTCTGCATGTTTTATGATTCTATACTGCAGCCACCACTTTGGCTTCACTGGTGGGAACCGTCCATCTCGTTACACAGACTGTGGTTCACGCCCAAAGCTTCGGGTCAGATGATGAGAGGAAATACCTCAAGTATTTATGACACATCCTCTTTGCTTCCCTGTAGCTGGGAGATCATTGACTCAGGCCAGGATGGCCGGTCTGGGACTGGACCTCATCTCAGCGACTCCCTCAAACTTTTCCTCCAGGAGACCTCGGCTTTCAAGCAGCAGAACCCGGGCAAGGTGAGACGGCTAAAGAGCCCCAGAATTGATGGATGCAGCTGATGAATTTTGTTTCTGTTTAAACCACAGTGGTTTAGTGTAACAGGTTCGTCGAGGAGATGATCTGTCACTGTGAGCAGAAACTTTCTTCATCAGCAGTCTGACTTCTTGCTTTCTTCCTCCTCTAGTTTTGCCTGCTGGTTTGCAGTCTGTGCACCTTTTTTGCTGTCGTGGGACGCTACATTCCAGGGATTGTCATCTCGTATATTCTCGGTGAGTCGCCCACAGTTTTGGACGTGAAGAAGTTTTACTTGTAGTCACAATGTGTCATCAGCATAACAATAATGAGAAGAAGTGAAATAATGAGGATCCAGGAGATGGGTTTAAGGTTTCATCCACACTACGTCGTTTTAGTTTTAATGCACATCGCTGTTGCTATGGTTACACTGGTCATCCACGCGAAACCTAAACCAGTAAGTGTTTTCTGTAACTAAGCAACCGACTGCAGAGCAGACTCCCTGTTTACACCACATGACCAGTGCAGATGAACTTGTTTGTATGGACAGAGACTTTTACTGAAGAAGGTTTTAGCTTGAAAACTAAAACCTGTTGGATGTTGCCTAAAAGGTGCTTAGGATGACTAAGGACACTGTAACATGATTATCAACCCCGTTTGTCCACATTACGTTCAGATGACTTTGCAGTGTGGTTTTTTTTAATGGCTGGTGTGTAAATAGCTTCCTGTGTCTGCAGTGCTCGGCGTCTTCCTGTGGCCTCTGATTTCAACTCATGACATTGGTTTGTGGCTGGAGCCAGTTCTGCAGAAGCTGGACTTTGGCATTGGAGAGTTCCTTCAGAAAATCAAAGAAAACCACGGTAAACAGAATCTATATCATAAGTTAAACAAATATCGATGTTATGTTACATGTTACTACTTCCTGTGCTAACCCTCCAGACCCCCAGTCTGTATTCATTGATTGGAGACATCGGTTGTAATGATGTAGTAATGTGCAGTGACTATAGATTGCATAAAATCCAAAGAACTCCCAAACACAGTTCATTTAACATCCAACACGTAAATATTTGGTTTTTAATTGTGCGCCACCAAACCCACACTTCTCCTTTCGTTTTCTCATCTGTGTTTTGCTCCTTTCAGAGAAGAGAATCCTGCAGACTCTGACTGAGAAGGAGGGCGTCGAGTCAGACCTGTCCTCCATGTTTCCTCAGGTTGGCCGATCATCTCGTCCCTGTCTAATTAGGCCTGTGTTGACCGACTGGATCCAGTTAAAGCTGATTGAATTTAACTACACGATCAAACCGAATGATATAAGAAATGTTTGTCCTCAGGCGTTTACATCTTGCTTCCCTGTACAGTCTCAGGTTTTCCTAGTTAACTTGAGTTTGACTTCTTCGAGACTTCATAAAGATGGTGACCACTTACCTCAGATTCATTTTTGGGGGTTTTCAAGCCACATCATAGCACTTTTATAACTATTTTTAAACTGTCAGGTAACTATCATGCACACATCAGCCTCGGTTTCACTCTCTGAAATCTGACGTCTCCATGTGTTTGATTGTTTTCCGCCCGACAGCTCGACTCCACAGTGTGTAAGGAAATGTCCGTATCGGACACAGAAGTGTCTGAAGTGACGTGGACGGACAACGGCACTTTCAACCTTTCAGAAGGACACACACCACAGACGGAGAACTCAGAGGGTACGTTTGTCCGCCGGCATACACGGGGACACACAGGTATTAAAGGTGGAGTTCGTGATTCTGGGGAACGACTGTTGATGTTTGAAAACAAATACACCCCTCCCTTCACCGCTCCTTCAGAAGCTCAGCCCATTTAAATCATGCAAATGCATCGCTGGACTCAAAAAGTTGGAATGAGACACCAAAAAACATGATCATTATCTGAAGACAAAATACACCCTCTGTATTTACACAAACTACATGTTCAGCGACTGGAATCGAACAGTCTGACACTGATGTACCGTTACCACTTCACAAATGCTCGTTATGAACCATAACCCTGTACCGTTAACGACCGTCCCCATGGGAACCGCTGTTTCCAGTTGAAACCTCCATCTCACTCCCATTGCCCCTTCACCCCTTACCCCACCTTTAAAATAAAGATGTCCGACCTCCAGAGTGGAGCTTGAGTATTTGAAGCAAAAATACTATATTCAATAATCCCCATTATTTGACAGAGACGTAGAGAGAAACTCCCAATGACTCTGCGTGTTTCTTCTGTTTGTACCGAAGCATCTCTTGTCACAGCGTCACCACACACCAACACATTCACCCTCTTCTTCTGGTGTTCAACCCTGAATATCCTCTTGAAAATGTCTTTGCCCCTTTTTTCCCTCAGACCTCGACAGAGAGGAAGCGTTCATCGGTGGCCTCCAAGAATTCCCCTCACTTGACAACGGCGCAACGACCAATGGCGATGATGACGACGACCTCGGCCTTCCCTTGCCTGAGCCTCAGCAGCTAATCAAATCCAAGCATACACCCCTTCCTCACAAAGACCAACCCAGCGACAAAGCGCTCGAATTGGTCAACCAGATGGCGGGAGACTTCATCGCCGCAGCGGTTACAGCTGCCATCCAGGAGAGAATAGAAGCAGCGGTTGGCTTCACGGCACTGAGCAACGACACGGATCGGTCAAGACTCCAGGAGTCCACCAGGCTGCTAGAGTTAGCCGAGGAGTCGGACAGCGAGGTGGAGGACTTTGAGCTGTTGGACCAGTCGGAGCTGGAGCAACTCGAGGGGGAGCTGGGGCTGGGAGAGAAGAAGACCAAGGTCGAAGAGGAGACAAAGGCCAAGACGGACGAGTCGACCTCAACTGGATTCTTCACCAAACTCCTCAGACGCCACTGATTGATGATAGAGTAGGATGGCAGGGCAGGAGGAGGAGTTACAGCGGACAAGGGGGAGGGAGAGAAGGGGGGCGTTCTGGTCACAGAAACCTCGGGTGTTATGAGAAAATAATGTTTCCATTAATCTTTGCAGCCCAATGCCGAGATCAGACACACAATGTCCGACACTGTTGCTTGTTTTATCCTTCGTCGCATCACAAAGAACATAACTCACCATAACTCAAGTCAATTAAGATTCAAAGGTCTCGTGATAGTGGGAAGAAAATGGACAATAATAATATTCATGAGTTAGTTGATGAGTGAATGATCTCCTGAATAATCCGCCATGTGCACCGTCATGTTTCTACAGTAGCCCAGAGCGGACAAACCAAACACTGGTTCTAGCCTCTCACATGTCGACGTTACCTCTCTCACGAGGTTAGGGGGAATTCGCTTGGTTGAAATCTGCTGCTTACTCCACTAGATGGCACTAAAAACCCGACACACTGAACCTGGAAATCATTAAGTTGCATTAATAAATAAGTAACGAAGGTGACCACGCTGTTCCTTCTGTGTGTTTACTCATCAGTTGCTGTGGTTACCGTCGTCTTTTTACAGCACCTTCGATCGTATTTTAAAACTTTAACGTAGTTGTAAGTAAATGAGGGAATTTGAATGTGTATCACAGTTTATTTCAACATCATCTGGTGAGTTATTAGCATCGCACATTTTTAAAAGCCCCATGACGCTGAAAATTATGAATTTCTCTCTTGCGTCCCAATCAGAAGGATTTCTGCAATTTTTTACTTCCTCCTCGTGACTATAAATTCTGACAGTTAGCGCTCGGTAGCTACGCAGTGCTTTTCATCGGTTGAATCCGAAGTCGAAGGTGGCGGCGAGAAGTCGTCATGACGCTCCACGTTGAGCGGCTGGTTACTGTCGACTCATGTTAGCAAACATGTAGAATCCAGCGGCGCTCTGACAAACGTGTCCCGGGCTTTAACTCTGTAACTAAAGATTTCCTCAGTTGTCACGAAGAGTGAAAAAATATGATTTATTGACAATTCATTTCGTGTGTGCACTTGATATATAATTAGTTTATCAAATAAAACAAAATAATCTTTAGCAAGATTACGACTGTGTGGACGAATCATCCGTTAACTTTTTAAACACTTGAAATGTCCCTTAAATCTACTTACAACTCGTTTACGGTTTCTTATAAAACTTTTAATGACGATACATTACTGATGAATGCTGGGTTCAAATACAGGGTTAGAATTACGTGCTGCCCTTTAAAGGTATCGATATTATCTTTATATTTAAAACAGGAAACATTTCCCTCAATGTCGGGGAACTCAAGCTCGACTCAATATGTAGCGTAAAGAGCAGCACAGTATAAAATGTACGTTAACCGCTGAGCTGAGACTGAAAGAAACAACCACACACTTCACTATTCACGCTGATGCTGAACTGATTCATTCAACTACATTTACCCACAATTCCACAAACATCGACAAGACAATTAGTCAAACAAAACAATCATCTTTTCTGCAGTTCATACTCCTACTGGTCGAATTGTTGAGTTAAAAAGTTGTATTTTTATTATTGTTTTAAATTCTAACGGTAGTTTCTCTATAAAACACGTAGAGTTTTATCCACTGGTGTGTTTACATTATAAAACCAGATCCCGACATCGATATGATGCGTCTGTGTTGTGGTGCCATGAACAGATATTAAAATCCAACCTCACGTCACGGCACAGGTAGAAGAAGTATAAATACATTGAAATACTTTATAGTAACATCAGGAGGGGGTCGTTGTTGTTTTTTTACAGTTGTCCAGACTGGACTAACTAAATCTTTTGAGTTTTTATGACAACCGAAGTAATCACAGGTTGCAACATGACACTTCACCACTAGATGTCACTAAATTCTACACACTGTACCTTTAAGTCACCTTGCCTGGGCTAATCTAACCGATCATGTTTAGAGAACCGTAACAGTCGACTGTAACCGACCGACCCAGACACAGAATACATGTGAAGCTCTGGAGGCATCGTCGTGTTCCATCGGGACGTGATCATCACTACAAGTCGTGTTTCATGCACTTTACGGTTCACACCCACCGCCTGCCTTTGAAACACGTTTTGCTCCTTTCTCAGCTACTTCATGAACCCGTGAAGTTTCCTGCCGCTCACGTCGTTCACTGTGTGATTCCAAATGAGTGTAAATGCACTGAGAGTTAAATGTTGAGACGCTGAATTTTCATTTGCACCTTAATGATCATTTAACGATGCACCAGGTTGAGGATTCGTCACGGAACGAGGAGGAGTGACTGAACTTCTTTTACATGCCTTGTACATGTTTAATATTTAACACGTGCAGCGATGTTCAACGTATCCTCTTGAATTCATGATGTAATGCTGTGTCCTAACATAACTATTAAGACGTGCTCATCAGTGCCTCTGAGGGCTTTGTAGTGGCTGCAGTTTGTTTTTTGCTCTTGTGAAGTAACTGTGTAAGACAAAGACAACTTCAGGATTCACCAACTCCGCTCAAGAAGCTTTTCAAAGTTTCCGACTAATAAAACGGTTCATTTTGTTCATTAACCTTCCAGTTGTATCAAGGTGGCTTCCAAGCACTTGCCGAGAAACACATTGAGCCCGTTTCAGAAAGTTCTTGGTGGGTCGGAGACAATATGCATTAACAAAATGTACTTTTGTGTATTTAAACTCGAGAACATCAATAAAATGTTGTAAAGCCATCTGCAGTTTTATTCATTTGACCTCAGTGTGTTTGTGAATGATAAGATAAGATAAAAATATAAGATACTAATGTTTCTTCATACAGCCATTGAACTGGAAGCAAAGAAAACAATTAATGTTCTGAACACAAGTTTTTCTCATCACAAATACAAATGAAACAATCTGAACTGTTTCTCCGCATGTTTTGCTCTTGAAGAAACCTCAGTTAATGAACACAGGTCAGAGCCTCAGGGTTTATGGGTTAATTGGCTCTAATACTCTCAGTCTGTCACAGGACTTTTCTTTTGGTGTAATCTCGTCCCCCTCATTCAGCTGCGCCTGCACATTGTCCTGCCACCGTCTCCACATTCAGTCCAGCCTGCGTCCCAGCAGGACTTTAACGCCACGTCTTCCTCGTGGTTTCCTGTCACATCCATGTTTGGTGTCCACGTAAAATCCACCTGGTGCAGAGAAGCGCTGAGGTTTCTGGAGCCGTGCCGTCAGCAGGAGGGAATCTGCTGCTTGTGGAGCCACCTCTTCTTCATCTTCTCTGCTTTGGCTCTTTCTTTAGAGGCTGGAAGGTCAAACAGAGATTTGAGCAACGCTGATATTTGACAAGATTCATCAGCTTTTTAAAAAAATAAATAAAACCACTCCAGCAATTCTGTCGATTGAATCCAAGGTTTTAAATGTTACTGCAGGAGCAACTGTTGTCTGACTGTGTGGAGACCGATGAGGACGATTGTATGTGTATGATAAAGATCTTGGTTCAGATAAAAACTAAATTGAATGATTGTTTAAAACTCTCATCAAATAACCACAAAATGAAAAAGGGAAAGAGAAGTGCAGCAGTAGATGACGGTACTGCAGCTACCAAGAAACTGAACAAAGACAAAACACAAAACCCTCGTTTGTACGATACGACTGTCACAATATCAGATTTCCACTTTGACCATGTGCAACAATTTAAAAAATAATGATTTAATCAATTTCCTTTATGTGATGTTTGACAAATTAATTCTGCTCAAAATACTAAAATCAGTTTGTCCGGTGCAGATAGATGACGTCTATCCTTCTGATCAGAGATCAAGATAGCCCCAGAGAAGACATCATGAATTGTCGGCGTTCAACACTTTTAGTTTTGTCTCCTGAACTTACCCCAGTCTTTCTTGACAAATTGCACAGCTGCACTTTTATTCCTCCCCTTCTTGTTCTGGAGGGAGAGCAGCTCGTTATCTGAAAGCAGAAGGACAGAGAGCGTTAATGCCTCCGGACTGACGACGGACTGGAAGTCACGCTGAAACCTGCGAGTGTCGCCGTCGTCGCCGCAGCGGGAAACCCAGGAGCGTGGGCACCGCAGTGGGACGAGAAAGGACGTCACTGTAGCAAAGCTCAAATTGAGACAGGTCATGGTCTTTACAGACTCCTGCCACAGAGTGTAGCCTGCAAGTTATTTATAAACCATGTTTGACCAACGTGTGCTTCTTTCTGTATATTCTGAATTTCCGCCCCTAAAGCCTAAAGCCTCTTAACAATAATAAAGTCTGACACCATGTTTACTTATTTATTACTTTTACTTTCTGTCCTCTTTGCTCCTGTTATTCCCCCGTTGAGGGACTAAAAGAATTATCTTACTGCATCTGTTGGCAAATTATAAAACTGAGTAACAATAATAAACGTATTTCTTTAGTTAGAAAGTGCTTATAGCACATCATAGATCGACCAGATCCTACTCAGCAATGCAACAACACTGAACAGATGTGTGATCTGTTCTCAATCTACTGGAGACGCAACACAGCGTCACAGTTTTCTTACTTGTGGTCCTGCGGCTGCCTGCTCCGTACAGCCTGGACTGGATGAAAGCCTCGGCCGACTGCTGCTGAAAGGTCGCAGACGCTTGCTCCTTCACCGTCACCACCTTGTAGTTTCCCTTCAGACTGACAAATAGGAACGAGCCAAGTTTGTCTCGTGCACACGGGGGGGGGGGGGCACAATACACAGTCCGACCAGTGTTGTTACAACACACGACAGGCAGCAAAGCAGCAGACGAGGAGACGCAGGGAGAAGCTTTTAATCAGCTTTGTTGAAGTTTTATGAGAAAGGAGTTTACCTCAATTTCTTAGATTTTTATATTTCACTGAAGTGATGTTTCCTTCTGTGTGTTTGTGTCTTCTTGTCTGTCATTTCTGTACTGATGTTGATTACTGCCGTGATTCAGACTGAACCAGACGAGGAAACTCTCGTCCCCCCGGAAAAGACGGTTAATTTCAGCAGTAAGGAGTTTGTGTTACTGTCCATCACACACATGATTATTGTTGTTTTCCCTGGTTACAGAAATGCGAAGCGTAAAAAATAAAACATCAGCCAACACGACGGAAGTCAAACCTGAATATCTTTTTGTCACTGCAGGAATCCTGATATTAGTTCTTGGGTCATTTAGATTTGAGGTCAAGCTGCGCATGAATTTAAACTTTACTGTTGATGTTTGTTTACGTACTTTCGAGAATTCGCTAATTTCCTGGTCCTCTTCCTTTGCTTCTTCCCTCGCTTTTCCTCCGGCTGCTCCTCTTCACCTGCTGAGAACGGGTTGAGTTGAGAGAACATGAGTCACACTGATCTGACGCTTGTTCTGCTGCTGTTTAAAGTGAGTGAATTATCACAGAGGGAAGGAGGGGGGGGGTGTCTTCACCTTTGTCTTCAGAGGTTTTCTGATTCCTGCAAAATAAAAGGATTCCACTGTTCAAAGGAGAAGGAAATGTATCAGAGCAAAGAGACGCAGAGAGTCGAACCAACGTCACTTACTTTGAAGCAGAGGAGTCGATTTCTTCCAACACGTCAGCCGGTAAGAGTCTGCGTTTCTTTGGGAATCAGCAGAATGACGACACAAAAGCTTTTTATCAGAGGACACGGGAAATACACTGCGTTTAACAAAACTGGATCCTGACCACTTGTGATTGTATCGTAAACTTATATGTAATATTAGCATGCCCTCTAGTGGACAGAAGGTATAACACGATGACAGAGGCACAGGTCAAACATGGTGCACGCTGATAAGTGATGAAGTGATGAACTTTTATTTAAAGTGTGAATATCGTCAGCTCGGACACACACTGACCTTCTGTTCCTGGAACAGCTCCTGTCTCTTCCTCCTCTTCTCTTTCAGACTCTCTTTCTCCCTGCAAACAAAAAAAAAGAGCGAAATTTACCTTGAACACACACACACACACACACACACACACACACACACACACACACACACACACACACACACACAC